ATCACTAATGTTTACTGTTATAGGAGTAACTTGTACCATTAATGCACCTTATATCATGACCTTTACACCCTAAACATATTCTTTGCACCTAATCTCAACCGCTGTCAATCTACCCAAACCAACACTTTTGGCGCTCTCGCTATAACTCCCCTTTCTTTCCAGGTGGAGCCGAGAGCCCGACCAGCGTCTGCCAGACGACATCACAATTTAATACGGTTGAATCACTTAATACACACTACATCAATAAATAGTATACAATGTGCAAATAGGCAATGTTTAACTGTACTGTGCAAATCCCGCTAATAAAGTGCAAACTGTTCACTAAAGTGCTGAGTGACATTTGTCCTGTGCAAACCCACATGTGCAAGATTACCCGGCCCGAAGCCGTCAGTCCATAGTGACGAAGTTACCTTCTTCACACTCACAAAATACTTTAATGTAAATGTAAATTTAAATGTGAAGGGATGTGTGTAATGTGGTGATTGACATTATTCACCCACGGACCTATGGGTTGGGGTATTGTTCCGCCCGGACATTTTAGTTAACCGGACTTCCTGTTGTGAAATCCGAAAACATTTTTTAAAAATAAAATAATACTTTATTCCGAGTTCGCTTGCTTTTCTCTTTGGAGGTCATCACATAACGGCATTGTAATACACGGTTCGGCTGCATTACATATAGATTCAAAGTGAAACGGCAGGATTGAGGCTGTGTGTTCATGATTTAATAAATGCCCACACCGGGTTGTATTTTTGGACGTTCTGCCTCTGCCTCCTTGCTTAGTCGGGCCGCTCAATTGTCAGCTTCACAATTGGTGTCAGAAGTGGGATTGACCAAGTGAGGAGGTGAGAGTGATGGAGGAACTGAGGCAGATGAGGTCACTCCTGCAGCTTCAGGCAGCCGGTGAGCAGCAGTTCGCACGGGAATCCAGAATAAGAGAGGAACGGAGACTCCGGAGGCAAGACGGCCGATTTGCTAAAGGCTCGACAGGCACTAACTCTGCTGCTGGGGCATCAAAGATCCTAGCGGAGAACCGGAAATTCATGCGGGAGCAGAAAGAGGAGATGCGCTTAGTGGAGGAAGCTCGTCTGATACGCCTGGAGGAGGAGAAGAAACTGGCAGAGGAGAAGTTCCGTCAGGAGAGAGAACGTCAGCTGCTGGAGGAGCTGGAGAGACGGAAACGGCGACAGGCAGAGCTCGCGGCCCAGAAGGCCAGAAAGAAGGAAGAAGAATTGCAACGGGAGGAGCTGGTAAAAATCCTGGAGGGGAATAACCGCAAGCTCAAGAGGGAACTTGAGCGAGCGGCCGCTAAGAAGCTGGAGACGGTGAACAGCAGCCAGCGTCACCTGCAGCGCAGCACGAAGGAGAAGGAGGAGCGCGACAGGGAGCTCATCAGCATGACGCAGCAGATGGCCACGCTGATGCAACTACAGCGGTCCCGGGCGGATCCCGCTCCGCGGGAGAGGCCGCAGTCCCGGCTCTCTGAGAAGAGCGGAGAGATCCAGAACCTCAGGATGAATTATATGAAACGTCTCTGGAAACACCGGGCGGAGTGGAGACACATGGAGGAGGGCAAAATGGCCAAAACGGTTAAGACACTGTGCTTCCTGGGGAGAGGGGTAAGGATATGTGACGAAGATAACTTTGTCACTATGGACTGACGGCTTCAGGCCTTGTATATTGCACATGTGTTTTTTATTTTGAAAAGTGTTCCCCCTCCCGTTCTTTCTGTTACTCCTGATTATGTTCACCTGGTGCCCTGTGTTGTCTCCTCCCCCCCACAACTTTGTCTAATTCAGGGGTGGGGAACCTCCGGCCCCCGGGCCGTATACGGCCCGCGAGACAATTTGATACGGCCCTCGAGGTAACTCACGCAGTGCTTGAATTGGAATGAAAAAGGTGCCAGTACTCTAAAATCAGCAACTTTTTCAAGTCAATTTTATATATATAGCCCACAAACAAGAATTTGGCTACTATAATGCTGGTGGGTTTGTCTCTTTACTACTGTATATTTTAGAAAGGTTCACTGTACTTAACATTTTTTATGATAGGCAGCGGATATGGCTAAAGCTCTGTAAGGTCAATATTAACTGAAAATATAGCAATCAAAGTCTAGATCTTCTGCTGAAGACACATGAAGCAGAGACCTTTCAGGTGAGAGCCCCTCTGGTGGTGTTCAACATTAATGACAAGGAAACAAAGCTCTGGTCAGAAGCATTTTTTATAAAAAGCTTTAACAAAATTAAGTATTTCTGTACATTTTGAATGCAATCTAACTTTCCAACTCAGAAAACGAAAAACGAAAAAGTGCCAAAAGTCTTCTCACATGGCTGAGCTGCTTTGCAATATACTTCACCACTGAAGAATACAAATATGTATAAAGTAAACTATGATGCAATCTAACTTTCCAACTCAGAAAAATGATAAAGAGCATGAACAAAGAACATGTAAAAACAAATGCAAAATTTGCACAATCTAAAATGAGAAACTGTAACTGCAAGTAACAAAGTCTGAGCCATGGTAAAGAGTTACATTGAACACCAAGCTGATCAGATAACTCCCTGGTTGGTCTGAAGTCCTTCTATCTCCAGGATCTGTACAAATCGGCACATTATGCCAAAAGTCTTCTCACTGGGTGAGCTGCTTTGCAATATACTTCACATTGTTAGAAAAGGCTCCAGAAGGCCTTGGGGACATCAGTATCAGGGGCTGGAGCTGGACAGGCTCTTTCATCAGCACTTCTCCTTCCCTTTGCCAGCCAGGACCTCACATACTGTTCCGGATTGAACTGTCCTAGTGATGGTCCATTACATTTAATGAAAACCAGGCTGGACAGTCGGCTGACAGAGAGAGCATTCCTTTTTGCAGTAAGGATATCGTTCATGCAGCTGAATGCCCGCTCACACTCACTAGTGGAGACAGTGATGGTTCGGACTGCTTTCAGTAGAGGCTCCATGGCAGCAGGTGTACGGGATGCCCTGGTTTCCTTGTATTCGCGAAAGCCCTGAACAGTCTCTCTTCTGTCCACTTTCAGCACTTCGCACAAACGTAGCACCTCTACGTCCCCATACTGTACGTCTAACTCCTCTTCAGGCCAACTTCCAGGATGGATAACTTTCATGTCCTGGATTAGCTGATTGTCCCGGGCCTCCCGGCCATGTAATGGGATTTCTCTTGTGCTGACATGAGAGGAGGTTGTGGAAGTCATTCTGTGTCTCAGATTCTCTACCATTAGGGTTGGGAACCGAAACTCGGTTCCAGATGAGAACCGATAAGAAAATGCCGGGTACCGGGTACCCGTACAAAATACACCTTTTCGGTTCTGCTTAACGGTTCCTAAACGCGGTAGACCCTGTATTCCAGCGGGTCCGTCTGTACCGCGGCGACCCGGTGGAATACAGGGCGGACCTGGAGAATCACAGAACGGCCGGTCATCAGCGGGCCGTTGACGGCCGGCTCGGTACACTGATGGCCGGCACCGCCCTTAATTTTTTTAAACGGCATCATGTAAGTTGCGCTGACAGGCGACAGAGGTCCACAGTTGCCCCGCAGCGAGGCTCCCCGCCCTCCCGTAGACAGTTCACGAGCTCAGTCACTTCATAACACCAAAGATGGGTCGCGGTAAACGCTCTGAAGTGAGGCTCCACTACACTAAAAAATAAAAAGACAATTGGGCACAGTGTTAATAGCTTGCCACAGGCATAGCTCAGTTAAAATAAAGCACAGCTATTGTGCAATACATTTGTATTGCATGTATATTTTTTATTTGTAACAATTTCAGTTAAAGCTGAAAAGAATAAAGATATTTTTGTTATCTAAACGTTTGACCTCTTTCTTTTACAATTTTGGAATCGAAACGGGGAATCGATAAGAACCGGAATTGATAAGCAGAACCGGAATCGGAATCGATAAATTTCAAACGATACCCATCCCTATCTACCATACTGCGGAAAAACTGACCTGCATGAATCTGTACAAGCCTGCCATTCTCACGCAGGGCAACACCCTTGAAGGACTTCTCAGCTAGAGCTGTATGAACTGTAGTCATGTGTGGGCCAGGCATGGTGACCATGGATTCAACAACTCGTATTTCTCGAGTTAAGAGCCTATCTGCTGTAGGCAGTGTCATCTCTCTTTTTTGGAGTTGCCGAGAGAGGTCGCTGAGCTCTGTGAGCGCATCGTACATCAGTCCCAGATTGCTGACAAACGTTGCAGATGTGAGCACATCATCCAGGCCCTTGTACTTTGCTCTGTCTCTGGAATCCCTGCTCGTGTCGTTTGCAGCATTTGTGAAGTGATCATGAAGCACTCGGTAGTTTTCCCAGACTGCTCTGACGCTCCTTTCACTTGAAGCCACCCAGCGGATGGACAAAACACGCCCTATCACCAGGAGACGCTGTCCGACTGCTTGCGCACACTGCGCTAACTGCCTCTGATTTTTGGGGGAGGCATGGAACAAGGAATAGAGTTTGTCAAAAAAGATCTGGAAATGATTGAGCCCTGAGACCTCCTTGACCACATCCCCAACTGCCAGCTCTAGACGATGATTGGAGCAGTGCCACACAAACAGGCTTGGGAATTTACTACACAACTGGGTAGCAACGCCTGCACACTAAAAAATGCTGGGTTAAAAACAACCCAATTTGGGTCGTTTTTTAACCCAACGCCAGGATCAATATTGGACCAACCCAGCAGTAGTTAATTTGACCCAACGAAATGGGTTGCGTATTTTAACCCAGCAGATGGGTTATACATTTAATCCAAATGCTGGGTCAAATTAATTACAGCCCTGGGTTAATTCTACCATGAATTGGGTTAAATATTACACCCAAATGCTGGGTCATAATAGCTGCGATGGGTTAATTCTACAAGTTATTATCGTCATGTTTTTAATGCAATACCCATGTCTCTTAAACATTTAAATTACAAACCCTTTTAAAATGCATCCTATATTTGGTCATGCAAATAATATAATATGCAATAAACGTTTTTAAACAATGTTGGAATCTTAGAAAAATATTCATTTTATTGTTATAACAATTGACAGTTCAATAAAGTGCAAACATATTCAGTTCACAATAAAGTGCAAAACTTTCTTTAAACAAAACTTAACATTTATGCATGTACAGTACAGCCTGTAAACAACACACATTAGCAGATCTACAAGCTCTGGTTTGAGAACCACTAATAGCAACATACGTTTTTTCAGAAATGACTGGTTCATATACTGGCTATGTAAACGTTACAAAGAAAATCCTCCAACATGATCACAACAATGTACTGCTCCTTTAGGTGATCCGAACTACAGGAAACTAAGATGTGCAAATAAACATTTTAACAATTTATGCTTCCACCATTTAGCTCTTTTTTTAGCACACAACTTGCTCATAAAATACTTTGAGCATTAGGTAGTATTTTGAACATAACACACACACACTTCACAAATCCAGCAATATTTAATTTAACCAGATAGAACCCTACTCTGAGCCAAGCAGCAGAAGAGAGAGAATAGAACAGGAGGACCAGCAGAAGAAAATAAAAGGATCAAGACCACAAGTCTACTTGCAAGCAAGTATTGCTGCACGCAAGGACGTAGCAGGTTTTGACTCCTCTCCTCCCTTGATTTCGTACACTGCATTTTGGAGGAATTTCCATACAGCTTCACACTGCTTTGTGTAGTCGATGTCAAAGATATAGAATACCTTGAAACAGACATCTACTGCCTGAAGCAATGTGTTTTGTTCCAACGCCTCCCCATCAAGAATAACGAACGCCTGAGAGGTGTGCCAAATATCGTTTCCCAGGGACAGGACATATGGGTAAGGTCTTGACACCTTCGCCTCATGGAGGTACTCCACCAAGTTTGTTCCAACCTGAGAAAGAAATAAAGAACAAAAGACAAGATAAATTAAACAAAGTAAAAGATTGTGCAAAAGCAAAGAGTAAGCAAGATTTGGCAGTGGCTGATACAATGCATATTCAGAAACAATGTTTTGAATTATTCTTGAGCCCAGGAATAACAGGCAGTCAGGCACATTCTTAACCACTTAAACTGGACCTGGGTTGGCTCTGTACTTTAGACCACTGTTTTCCATCTTCACCAAATCTCTTCGCCAAAAATAGCCGATCTAGCTGCCATGTTTGGCTAATGTCCCCGCCACCCCCCCCAAGAATATGGATGCTGGGTTCAAGTGATTAAAAGAATAACATTTCCCTTTAGATATGCAGAGGGACTTACAGGCTTATGATCAATGAAGGCCAACTTAGACTCCTCGATAGTGTACCGGAACACTTTTCGGCCAACCCTGTAGACAGTTGGTGGAAGCAGTGTTGGTAACTGGCTCAGAGCAAGTTCCCCCAAACAATCTGTAGGAAGACAATTTTATAGGTATCAATATGTGGCATGGCATATCTGTGAATTGGTCATTTAGTAGCAAAATAAAGTCTGCTGTACAATATAACAATGTATTACCGGGTGTTAATCCATCAAGCGACGAGATAAGTTTCCCTTCCCGTCTCGCCAGGTGCAGGATCTTGTCTTTAAACAAAGGTAGCCAGGTTTCGAAGAGCTTAGGCGCAGCCTCTCCATGTAGGATCTGAAAGTCCTGTGCAATCTAAATGAAAAATTGAAAAAGAAAATTCAATGTGGCAGCTGACATACTGATAAAAGATTGTTATAAACAATGCATCCACATCATATGTAAACATATACTCCTTCCTAACTTACCATGCCTGGAGTGAATAGATGTGGGAACTCTTGGCGGATCCCTTGAATGTCCCACCCGTTTTCCCTTAAAGACTTGGCCCTGTTTGATAGTTTGCAGAAAGTACAGCAGTACAAGAATGTTAAAAGGATATCACAAAAAGCCCTGAGGGCAGTTGCAGACAGGTGCTCTTGTATGGCAGTTTTGGAGGGTAAGGAGTTGCACTTTCTTGATGGCTGGTGGTAGGGTGTTCCACATTTTGGTAGCATAATAGTAAAATGCATTCATCCCCATGTTTGTGCCGATTATGGGGGGGGGGGGGGAGAGAGTAATGGAGCTCCCACTGGTGTTGTGCCCTTTTATTTTGACAGGTACATGGCACTGGTCCCTTGAAAACCAGGCCCATTGCAAGTTGCTGTACTCTGTCCTCCCCTGAGCCATCCCACTATAGCATCATAATGAGCAGGGGTTAGGTCATAGGTGTGAGAGGTCTAGTAGTAGTTTGTTTTGAGAAGTCTGTAGTTCAGATTTGAATGACTTGAGGTGCTACAGTACCATGAGGTGCATGCATAGGCAAAATGACATTGAATGAGTGCTGCAGCTAGTGTCCTCAGTGCATTCCTACTGACCTGTACACTGCTGTATCCTGCATGTATTGCTCCACCTGGTTGAGGGGCTGCGAATTGTGTTTCAGCCATTCTTTACACTGTATGGCTCTTTCTTCCGATATGGTACATTCTATAAAAGTACACATAAGGATATTAACAATCTCAAATTATATGTCTGTATTGCTTAAACAAATTATTCAGTTCCAACGATTACCTGGTATGAATGTCCTACGAGTGCCAGCTTCACTACTTTGTGGTGGTGTCTGCTGCGTGCTCTGTGACCTGGCCGGTTTTCTCATCCTCTTTCTGACGTTCCGAAGCCTCTCTTCGAGGAATCCAGTGGCTGGGCGGCGGTTCCGTCCTGGGGTGAACCAGTATCCCTGTCAAGAAATGAAAGTCTTTGGTGAATAGAGATGAGGCACATTTTGATAGCGTGGCGACAACATGTGGCTGAGCCATCTAGAACAGGGTTTGTCTGTATGTCTGTCTGACAACACCGGGCATCAAACAGCACAGAAGTCCAGTACTCTGGTGCTGGGAGATGAGTTATATTGTGTTCAACTGACTGTTTTAGCATCAATTCCTCAATAAAATGTTAATTACTTACGAAGCCACTGCTTGAGTCCGACTCGTCCTTCAAGGAGGGAAACCCATGAATCAAAGCTGCAGCCAAGGCCTTTTTTGTCTCACTGGTAGGACTGCAAACACAGAAAAACTAAATTACCAGCAGAGTCAAATTAGATCTTAAGTATTTCTAAAACATGTGTTGCACCCCAGTATAATGGCTGTAGCATATTCTGCAGCTAATAGGCATCCTAATAAATTAAAAACACTACTGAACGTGTGTTTTGGTACATGTGTTGTGCATGTTTATGTTGGTGGTCTAGGTAAATGTCAGACTTGAAAGTAGTGTCCCGTCTTATTCTTTTCCCCTGAAAGAAGATTCATATACCTTTTTCAAACTAACATAACATTCACTAAAAACAAGAAAAAAAACCCACTATTTTTAATTACCTCTCTCCAAACTTCTCCATGAGGTGAGACACCAAAATACGGACAAGGCACTTTCTTTGCGAAGGGATGATCACATCCTCATCAAGGCTCCCCAGGATCAGCTTGCCTTCAGTTGAGCCTGTGAGAATCTGGCGGATATCCTGAGAAAATTGCAAGAAGGGACAACATCACAGATATCGTTTATTACTCTTTAGTGTTGATTAAAGAAAAAAAGTGAAACCCAAGTCTTAAAAAGTGGAGCTTACAAATTGTGGAATTATATGTAGTGTTTGAGGTATCATCGCTGGTACGACAGGTGCCGTTTGGTCCTCCATGGAGGGTGGAGTTGTGGCAGTTGGTTGGACATCAGGACTTGTAGGTGGCACAGCAGGTTCAATCTAAACAGAATCCAGGTTAATGTAACAAACAGTGACAGCCACCTAGAATTGCCGGATGAGCATCAGTAATGTAAATCAGTGTACCACACCAGCGGACTCAGAAGACTGCACACAGTATGCATGGTGTGAGAGATATGCACCACGCCAAAGTTTTGATAAATTCAGAGACCTGTGTAAAGTATGGTTTATATTGACCCCTAAGCAGAAATGAATATGCGTGTGTGGGGGAGGGGTGTAGCCTCTCACATCTGCAGTGATCTAACTATACTTACAAGTCCTCTACATTTTTTGAGGAACTTAAGCCTGGGGCCAGCTTTTGGAATCAATTGGCTGATGGTCCCCTCGTCTAAAAGAAGAAAACTCTCCTCGTCAATTCCCTCTTCTGAAAAACAAAAAACAAGGACATCTATTTAAACCATGGAGAACAGCAAAAAATAAGAGGCTAATTACATGGAAGCTATTGGAATAAAAATGCATTTTCAGTAACATAAAATACAATGCAGTCAATGCCATTTCAAATAATTCCTTTACCTAGCTATACAGACCATCTGCTTGCTGTGAACGTAAAAAAAAACATGTTCTTACCTTTAAATCTATCAATAACGTCTGTCAACTGCCACTGTGTCAACGTGTCACACACAACATCGTCCATTGATCTGAGACAAAAAACACATAAAGAGCTTAATTAAAACAAAACATAAAATGTACATTTGCATGACTTCAACCTCACTTCTGGGGCTAATTTATTCAGTTGATGAGGCTACTAAAACTGACAAATGTCTGCTTCTCCTATTTATTTATTTGTATTACCTGTTGTATTTAGCACACATGAGCCCCACTTACTATGGTTATTAGCATTGTATTTTATCTGCAGACTTATGGTTATATCAAAGCCTTTATTTTTATATAGAGTGATACACTTTTGTGACTGCTAGAAACAGGTCAACCCACAATAGAGCAAGATTAGTTAACCAACTACGGACAGCAGCCACAGGAACTTTTGCAGTCACAAATTGCTGTGAAAAATTGAGAGACCAATGAAAGTTAAGTTACAGAGAACCTGCTTTTTTTTACACCAAACCTTATCAGTCCCCTTATCAGACAGAGAGTGCGACTACCGACACTGGCAGAGCGGCATCCGTCACGTAACATTAACTGCAGAGCGAAAACCACAGTGGCAGTCAGCTCCGCATGGCAGCTAGCTCCGCATGGCAGCTAGCTTGGCAGCTAATGTACGTGACGCAGACGAATAACGGCGCAACATTCCTTTGTAAAAGGGGCTGATATTACTGACATATATAAGCGCCTGGGGTAGCACACTTTCCGTTTAACTTTCCCAGGGTAATGCTACCGTCCTTTAGTTTTCAATCCTGATATCCTATATTTGAACCATCTCCCTAACTGGCAGTTACACAGACTAGCTAGTTAACGACGTTAGCTTTAGCATGTTTGTCGGCTCATTCGGCTTTTTAAGTGAGATAAAAAATAACACTAAATAACAAATTAACTATCAACGTTACCACAATATCGCTCATGGACTAGCAGTTGATGACATTTATTAACAGCTTCACAGTTAGATGACAATGTGTTCTGCTTACCTCCTCCAACTTTCGCCAACGGTCTTTATTGTCTCAATGATCCTCTCTCGCGATGATGATGGTTAAGTTTACGGTTATGCCCAAATATCGCGAGTGCACACAGGATGCAGGGGAAACCCTTTCCCGCCAGATCGCGGTCAAAATCAAACCATGGCAGAGTTCTCTTAATACATCCATGGAAGTGTCCAAGAGCAGTCAATAATGTAGCATGCCTTATTGTTCAAGCCATGTTTGTTGTTTCACATCTTTACAACCGTGAACATTTAAAAGTAGATTGATTTTTGTCTCTGTTTACATTAGTTGGTATCATAGACTGTGGTTGGTATCCAGTTTATTGGTGGTTATACCGCCACCTTCTGCTCTGGAGTGGGAATCAGATATACCCTAATCCCTTTGTCTCAGTTTATCTCAACATGAATGAATCTAATACATGTGAAATGGTTGCGATTCATGCAAACCAATACCCAATACCATAGGCGGCGCCGGCGCGTGAGGCTCAGGTTTGGAAAGGCTTAATCACTTTTTTTTACCTGACGCTGCCCGCCTCCGGCATCTATAGAAAAGAGATCAACTCAGTGTGCAGAGTTTAAATCTCTCAAGTCATATTACAGGATAAAGGAAATACAGTTTAAACTGCCGTATGCAGAGAAGACGCCGACGTGTCGCACTTATCATTCATATTACATCATCAATCAGATCATCGATCATATAATATTATAATATATCATATATTTCCTTATCTGAGTCAGCTTCTCCAGCCATATCTGGCCGTGCAACACTTACAGTGTCACATACTGTATGCAGAAGTATTATTTTAAGCAATACATTATGTTCACGAAACACTCGAGTCAAATGTAATTAAAGTCAGATCTGGTGAGAGAAACCCTGGCTTGATTTACCGAGTTGATAACCAGCGTCGTAGGACCGCTTAGCGAGATCTCGTTTGTTTGTTTGTTACTCAAACATATCCAGGGTATGTTGAACTGGCTTCGTAGTACAGGGCTAGCGGGTGGCTAGCAGCGCTAATGTCAAAGACACAGACATTATACATTAGCCTATATTTGTATTTTACCAGGATGCAGTGACACAAATATTTGGGAAGGCTTAGCCTTCCCTAGCCGCTACGGCACCCGCCGCCCCTGCCCTATACCATATAAATAACCCAGAATGAGTTAAACATTTCATAACCAAATGGTTGGGTAGACAAAAATATTTTGACCCAGTACTTGGGTTGCACAAAAATAACCCAATACCATATTAATAACCCAGAATGGGTTAAACATTTCATAACCCCATGGTTGGGTAGATGAAATAACCCACTGTTTTTTAGAGTGTGTTCTCTTCCCTAGCATGACTGAAGCCCCATCACATGCAAAAGAAACGAAACACTGACCTAAAAAGTCCTCGTTAAAATCTCTTCCAAGACACTCCATTAACGCCTTTGTGATGTCATCAGCCGTTGTTCCATCCAACTCGATCAGCTCCCAAAAAAACGTTTTGGGCTCAGCATCAGCTAATGCTGAGCGTAGACACACAACAAGCACCGTTTTACCACTAATAGTGGTAGATTCATCGACCAAAACACAGTTTTCTTTGGTTTTCTGTAATGTCTTTTGCCATTTTTTTCTTCAGCTCATGAGCTATGTGGTCGATGATTTCGCCACAGGTTTTATTGGAGTGCAAAACCCTGCCCACGTTCAGCCCATTCAGTTTCTGTACATTCAAATCAATTGGCATGTCTGTGAATGGCCGGCTATGTTTGCCAATTTTATATGCCGTTCGAAAAACTCTGATAGTGGTGTCTAATTCAGATGTATGCATAGACTGCACTTGATGTTGAATAGTTTCACGTGAAGCAGATGTAAGGATGTCAGCAGCTTTTACATGGGCTTGTGATTATTTATGTTCTTTGATTTTTTTTCTCAGGCTAGCTTGTTGTTTGCCCTTGTCAACACCGAAATGAGACACTGCACACTCACCCCATTCAGTTGACAGTTTCAGTCCTTGTCCAGTGTGTATTCCCAAAGATTTGACATCTCTGCATATCCGACATCCTAGCTTCTTATCTTTAAGAAGGAGCCATGCATTGGTCTTGCAAAAATATTGCACCTGGTCCGTTGTCCAGCAGTCAGGTGCATCGCTTTGCCCGGTGTTGGCAGTTGCGCCAGCAGCAGCTAACGTTAGAGGCTCTGGAGGAGGCGGCGGAGCTAGTGCTAATGCTAATGCACTAGAACTTGGAGCAGGAGGATCAACCAAAGAAAGCTCCCTATCAGACACAATTTCCAACACAGGCACAGCATTCTCTGTATTTGAAGTTTCTTCCGGTGACAACCGCTGTCTTTTTGCACTTTTATTAATCCACGCTAACATTTTAGAAATGCTAATTTGTGACGTGACTTGCTTTCCTTCTCTCGGGGGCGTGCCTGCTCTGTTCTATCACTCTACATAGCCACCCACTGGGTGGGAGTTGCACTGCATAAACACAACACACGTGCATCTAGGTATGTACATTGTAAAGCATTAAAACATGGTTTTACTAACAGTTTTCAGTATGTTGTTACTTCGGCATTATTATTATTATTATTATTATTATTTTGAAACGTGTATTACTATTAAATCACGGTCAAATAGGTTAATTTTGACATAGTCGTTTCCACCACAGTATTTACATGGAGAAGATAAGCCCCGCCCCCTCTCCAGCACGTTCTGTTTGAATGACAGGAGTAACAGCTGACAGCCGCTGTGAAACTCCAGCGGTTAGAGCGATGAGAATGTCCGTTCGGCACCTCATGACGCATCTACTGAGTACCGGGCGGCTGTATATATATATATGGATGTATAATAAGAACGGCGGGAGAGTGTTGAGTACTGGCACGGTGCATGAGTACCGGAGTACCGCCAGCATGCCGGTACTGAGCAAGAAGTGCCGGTACTCCATGGGTCAGAACCAGAAGTGCCGGTACTGCGTACCGGTGAGTACCGGCCCAATTCCAGCACTGAACTCACGCAAAAAAGAAAAAAATTAAGAAATCTAGACCGCAAAATAATTAAACAAGCGAGTGCCTGTTTTTCCTGGCCATGGTCAGGGTCCTTGAACACAACACGAGCCTAACGTGTCATCACGTGGTATATGTCTCGTCTCGTCCGACAGGGGTTTAGAGCTGCCGGAGAGCACCAGGACGTCGCTCCGGGCCGGGACGTCACAAATGTCAGTACCCATAAGGAGCCGTACACATGCCGCAGTTTTTTGCGTGGCTGTGTCTTCAGTTGTAAGCCCAGTGGCGATCTGTTCATCTGTCATACTGATCATACAGTCAATAACTTTGTTGTTATTAGCATCTGGTTAGCTAGCTATGCTAACGAATATAAGAAGCTTTTTCTCCAACCAGTGAGGTAGGCACATCTTTATATGATCATTATAGTTATAAAAAAAATAAGAGAATAAAGTAAACAGGTATAAAATACTATATGACAGTCAAAAAAAGGTCGTTATTAATAAACAAGAATACAGTTTGAAAGGGAAGTGATTTGTAAAATATCCAAAAAGAAAATCTGCTTACAGTTCTGTTTCATATGGGTGTTGAGAGATGTATTCATAGATCTCTTAATGTTGCTCTCAAAGTGCACCAGATTGATGCTTTTAACTTAAACATTAAAAAAAAAAAATCACTTAAATCATATTCACATGGATAGGAAACTAAATTGCACACATCTTGTGTCCATATCTTTCTGTTTTGGTGGTCATGCCACAATCGTGCACACGCGAGTCATGGTAAAATATCTGGATTAAGAGGTTGCTTTTTCTTTGCACAGCATGAAAGAAAGGCCAAATGAATGGGCTGTGAATTTTAGTATTTTTAAGCAGAGGTCAATAATTTGTACGGCCCTCGGTGGATGTTGAAAAATTGAAATGGCCCTTGAGAGGAAAAAGGTTCCCCACCCCTGGTCTAATTGCTCCCCCCTCACCTGTGTCTTGTTGTGCTGATTAGTGTGTAGGTATTTAGGCTCTGTTTCCCTGTGTGTGGAGGCTGGTAGAGTGTGTGTGTGTGTGTGAGATCCTTGTGGCAGAGGCAGTAGAGATCTACTAGAAACAGTGGAGAGGGAGGAGATGATATGCAGCAAAAGGCCGAGCCGGATGGTTGCTGCTCCATGTGGAACGTGTTCTATCAGGTAAAGCACTTTGGTACCCAGTTATTTATGGTATTGAGTTTGAATTTAGCTTTTGGAATGTAATTTCCAACTGTGCATTGTAGGGGTGTAACGGTTCACAGAAGTCACGGTTCAGTTCGTACCTCGGTTTTGGGGTCACGGTTCGGTACGGGTTCGGTACAACAAGAAAAAGCAAAACAAAGTCCCAAATGCATAATTCCAGGTTTGTTTTTATTTATTTTTGAACAGTAGTATACATTTTTCAGTTTAAAAATAAGGAACTCTGACATTTTGAATAATTAACTGTATTAAACAGTTAAAAACAAACGGTACCACACACACTCAGATGGCCATATTATCAATAATGGCTGATGTCAAACAAAAAGGTTTCATCAAGCTGTACTAAAAAGAATGTATTGAAAATATTACATCATAAATAATAAGAAATTGTTTCAAGGGCGCATAGTCGTTGAAAAACATATGCCAAAAGCTTCCGTTATTTATTTTGGTCTCACGGCTTTCATGGCTTCTTAAAAACAGCGGGGATAAACTGTTGAACTGCTGTTCAATCAGTAGAGACGTGATGTATGAAATACATGTTTATTATCGGGACACATGATATGCGGGAATAGTGATTGACGTATTACAACAAGTAACTGTAATGATGTTTTGGCGATTAGGCCCCGGGTTTGCAGGATGATCATTCAGGAGGGTAAAGAACCGCTCTGATGAACCCTCCGGGGTCTAGACACTGGTGGTGGTGATAGTAGTTCGTCCGATCTGAAGGGAGAAGGTTTCAGCTTGGCCCTGTATTAGGAGGTGAAGGGGTGGAGGAGGGTTGTGCGTTGACGCCTGAAATGACAACCGACAGGGAGGGGAGAGCAGATTTAAGGGGTTAGCAGGTACGATGATTGGCTAGCCGGGGCGTGACGCCCCTGATCGCTTATTGAGATAACGTGTGACACCCGATGATATTATCTTCCTGATTGAACTTACGCTGAGCTACATTTCAATCAGGAGAGACGTGATGTATGAAATACATGTTTATTATCGGGACACATGATATGCGGGAATAGTGATTGACGTATTACAACAAGTAACTGTAATGATGTTTTGGCGATTAGGCCCCGGGTTTGCAGGATGATCATTCAGGAGGGAAAGAACCGCTCTGATGAACCCCCAAAAGAAGTGAAGTATGAAGTACGGAGCTGTGAGCAATTCTTACCTTGCGGCTGGCTGCGGAAATCTATGGATGAAATGAGAGATTAACATGGTGACGTGTTGAGCGCCGGAATCGCTTCCGGGCTGCGGGGTTAGACATGCGCGGACCCACTGGCCGCAACCTGCACTGCAGGGTTAACATGACGCAGACCCACTGGCCGCAACCTGCACCCGCAGGGTTAAACCTAACGCGGACCCGTGTCCGCAACCTGCACCCGCAGGGTTAAACCTAACGCGGACCCGTGTCCGCAACCTGCACCCGCAGGGTTAAACCTAACGCGGACCCGTGTCCGCAACCTGCACCCGCAGGGTTAGCGTACGCAGACCCGGAGTCTTAGCCTGACAGTTACGAGAACAGTTGACACGTATACATGCTGTTATAGGCATAATTACCATTTTTAGTGTTTGAGGGACCTTTTGATAGCCAGCACGGCACTGATCTCCGGGCGGATGTAGGATGTGAAGGCAGAGGAGGACCATCGTCCGAGTTGTTGCAGGGATGAGGATGAGACGCCTTGATTAGCAGCGGAGGTAGCTGCGCCTATCCTGAACGAATGCCCCGAGATAATTGGGGTGATAAGCCGGATCTAATGAGAACTTGCTTAAGTAATGTGATGGAGGGACGCTAGCAGGGGCGCCGTAAGGGGGTGAAAAGTTAGGACGATTCTAAGGGCCCGTGACTGACGGGCCCCAAAATGTATAGAACATTAAGAAAAAAAATGTAAGTAACCTTTCATCAATCCTCAATAATTAATATTAATAGAACGTTATATTGATAAATTACTCACTAAACTTACGATTCATTTAACTTATTTTCTTCCAAAAGTTAATTACACAAAGCCTCTGTACACCCCCTTCTATTTACATGTAATTTTCACAAGAAAAGGTGGGTGTGGTCCATGAGTGGTGGAAATTAGTCTGTTAGCTAATGTTTTTTGTTTACTAAGCTGACATTAAGTACTATTGATATCTTTACAGAAAATTCAGAGGTCTTTCATTTCACTGCTCTTTTAGCTGATATTTAAAAAGGTATGGTAGGTAATTCACTTCAGAAACACTTTTTGTTATATTCCATGGAATGCTCTTAACATCCCGATAGCAATGAATATATGAAATGCTTTGACACTAAATACATACAAAAATGTCATCTGTGGAAGCTGTGGCGCTGTAAAAAGCACAACCAATCATCTGAGCCGGCCCGGCTAAAATAACTGGATGGCCTACCTGCCTGTCAGCCTTCCATCTGTGCACAAACTGTGTGTTGGAGGAGGGGCTCTGTAAGGAACTCTGAAGGAAGGGACAGATTTTTTTCGGTTGTGTACTTTCAAATTCTAGCGCACTCGAGCTGGTTTCTCCATTCTTACCTACCTTTAATAAATGCAGGCACATTTTTAGCGCCTATTCATACTAAATCAGTGGTCCCTCCCCCTGGTGGCAGGACCAACAGATCCATCTTTAGGCTCAGCAGCCCTGTCCCCCCATAATACTGAACCTGAACCAGCTTTTCTCCCAACTGAAGGAGGTGAGCAGCATTGTGTTGAATGACATGCCACTTAACATATCTGAAGGGAGACTGGAATACAATATATATATATATATAACAAAAAGCTAACATCTAATTTAAATTATACATTTCAAACACAGTATTTTCCCACATAGCCAATGATCTATATAAAACAAAAAACTGCTTTTAGTCTATTTAGGATGATGGACAGTTTGAAGCATTGAGTGATCAGTCTGTATTAGGTAAACAAAATGTTAATCACCGACATTTTGGTTATGATATTAATACTAATGTTATTATATTAAAGCAGGGGTGGGGAACCTCCGGCCCGTATACGGACCGCTAGACCATTTGGTACGGCCCTCGAGGTAATTTATAAACAAAGTTGCCTGTGCCTGGTGGTGGGGCCCAATGTGATATATTTTCATGGGGCCCAAAATCTCTGGCGGCGCCCCTGGACGCTAGTGTTAGATCCAGAGAGTGTGATAATAAATGTGTAAGCGATAGTGGAATCTGAGCGGCCGCTATGCGGATGATCTCATGCAGATATTCCCCCCCAAAACGGAGGATGTGCAATGCACGTCCTTAAGGGACAGGGAAACCGCGGTCGTCGTGAGGCCGGCGGAAGCCACGTCCAGAACGGGAGATGATGGCGTGCCGAAGATTATCCGCATGCAAAGTACGGTTGCCCGGTGAGGAAGAGCAATTGCCGTTGGAGATGTTTACTGTATACGCCTTGACGTTTATGTGGATGCACGCAGTTTGGTTAGAGGAACATTAATACCATGAGCTTGATGTGATGCCTAGGCACTCCAGGTGTGTGACTAGGCCTATAGTTACTCATGATTAGGCACGCTGTGCTCTTGGAGGAGTCTCTTCTTGTTTCTTCTTCTCTCTTCTTTCTTCTTCTCTTTTCCCAGTTGAGCGGGGTTATAGGTTAGTAATGTTGTATTTGAACACTAGATGGCGTAAAGCAACGCATGAGGGGATCTCCCTGGGCAGTGGGTGATTGAACTGGGGAGAGACACTATTAATATTATTTACCCGAATAGCCGGTGCACGCGTAGTTTCTCCTTACTTGACTCCCGCTTAAGGCTGAAAGACTTCCGCTGAACGGATGATGGGAACTTAAAGCGCGTCGTTAATATCTGCTTTGAAGAGCCAGCCTTGCCTGCACGCTATTAAGATTACATTATCTCCGTGCGTAGAAAGGGGGAACATTGACCTTGTCATCGAGATTGCCCTGAGCAATACCAGTCATGCTAGTAGCCTACGCTAAAGTGAATAGAGTTGTAACGAGCAGTAGCGCTTGAACAAAGTGACTAGAACGCGACCGCACCTTGAAATATTTATACAGTCGGGCAGCACTAAGAATCTGTTATTGTGTAGGAAATGGTTTAATGCCGCAATGATAGTGACAGTAGTCAAGATGACTGATTAGCTTGGTTGCTAAGCAACATCACCTGTAGGATGCCAGGGAACCTTAATGACGTTGTTGTGATGCAGACGGCGTAAATTCATACTGAAACACATTGCTAACAGATGGGACATTTTTATAGCTGCTTATATGACAGTCGGACAGTGAGTGCTTAACGACGACTGCTGCGTGTGAGTTAACAGTAGAATAGCTCCGGTGCACAATGCACTGCAGCGGCATTTATGCCGCTGAACCACGTGATAACCGATACAACACGGCATTCTAGAAAAGTATAGGTTGAAGAAGTAGTTCTGATTGAATCTGGCTTCGTATGATTGAAAACTACCCGACACAATCCTCCATGATGTTGTTTGACAGCGGTAAGGGAGAAAAACGGCGACGTAAACAATTACGTCATGACGCAGACGCGATATTACACCTTTGAACCTAATTCACCTCTGTAATGCGTAAGGATTTAGTGGATCAGAGACTGTGAACGGATTTGGACAGTGCTGCCGAAAATATGTTGTTGTCGCAGATCCAGCCGTTGGTGCACCGAAAAACGGAATATTCTAGTGGAGAAAAAGAAAAACGATCATTAACGGAGCGTCCACACAGCAGCGTGCGTCGACGCTTGGAGGTGGGCGTATCTGAAGCTTGGGGATTTTTTGCGAGCAACACGACCAACAACCAATCACATGAATCTCCCGCCCCCGACATACAAAGCAATAGCAATGTTAAAACGAAGTAAACTGGATATAAAATCCCCAAACAGGCGAAAACCTACCAGTTTCACCCACTGTCTCTGCCTCCTCCCTCCATGCCTCGCTCCTCCGGTTTGTATCCCGGTAGATGAACAGAGACTGATCATACAGCACCGGGTGATTCACTACCGCTACAATGAATTTCCCCTCAATTTTTTTGAATATGAGGAAATGACCTGCGTAGTCTCTCCCAGCATACACGCGGTTTGATTGGCTATGCGATTGTACTGGCAGATTTGAATAAACGGGATTTCATTGGCTGACGCCTCCGTCGAGGCGTCAAAAGTTGAACATTGCTCAACTTTTGACGCCAGCTACGCCAGCAACGCTCCACGTCGCTTCCCAAAATGCATTTCGGCTAAAAGTGACGTCACCCCATTCAAAGTGAATGGGCAGAAGCGTTGGAAGCTTCAACGCACGCCGCTGTGTGGACGGGCCGTAAGTCAATAAATTGTTCAATTAATATTGGGAGTGAATTCCTAATTTATTTAGTATCTGATCGTGTCATAAACAGGAATGTGCAGCGACTTGGTCATTGAGGAAAAGAAGCCCTACGAAACACCATTCATTTCAGGTAACACTGTGATGAAGCTTGAAACTGCGTTAGTTACTGAGCATTGTAATGGGTAGTAATACCCGAACTGCATTAGCAATGCATTACGATCTTCGTACGCAAAGAAATACGTTACTGAAACTCCATACTGTAAGATGTTACGCCCAACACTACCTGGAACTCACCTTAACCCTGAACTAAAGGTAGCAATGCATTCTTTCACACAGTGATGTCACGAGCTACCCACAATGCAATAAATACGCCATTTTCCTGGAGGTGCTAATATCCTGGAGGTGCTAATATAAACAGCTAGCTAACGTAGCCAGGCAGAGCGCACTAGGTTTTTTTTCTGAATTAACGACCGAAGAAATCGCTGCATGTCTTCGGATTACATCTCTGGACTTGAGGGGTGTGCTCTAGGTCGTTACCAGCGTAAACTAGAGCTGTGTGGGTTGTTGGATTGCCCTTACAGACTGCCTGCAGATGTATGGAAAAACGACTCTCGAAAGTGGCCTTCGGTCGATTTTGGCAGCATCTACGTCTATCTTCTGGAAACACCAAGTGAATACCCCACTTGTCACAATAATATTATCATGCCATTGCATATATGTGGTATTTTAGAGTTGACTATATTTATTAAGGCAATAGACTATGATATTCTGGTTGCACCTTGTGTGAAATGGCAGATACCGGAAGTACGGTGTCGCCCTCGGCCCAAAACCCATGTGTGTGAAAGAATAGTGTTAAACTTCCTGTCGGCTCCCAGACCGTAGTCGAGGAAACGGGGGGGATGACTCTCTGTCGTCTCCCAGGCAGAAGCAAAACATGTATCCCGCTCGCTCGCTCTACCACACCCACGCACACGTGCACGCGCCACACCCCTCTCTTAAAGGGGTAGCAATCTCACTCTGCATGACCCAATGTCATAATATAACGAAACATCTTGTGAATTTGTTGCAACTGCCTTTTGCCAGCGCTACCCTGACGCCTGTTTAAAGTGAGCGCAGGAGGAAGTAGCTTCAATGGGATATAGCTTAAGCCCTGCCTGCCTGCAGGAGGGGTTGTGGTTGAAGCCAGAATGGGTAAAACTCTGCATGCGATGAGGACCCATTCCGCGTGAAGCCGGAAGCGCCGCATTAGGCGGCCCTGATGCCAGTGATGCCTTCTCAAGAGACTGAAGCGTGCGTCAGTTGTTTGCGTGAAGTAACCATTCCCATTAAGCCGGAGGAACTTCCATGGAGCCCGATTTCCTTGTCTTTTCCTCCCGCGTCCGGGTTTGCGGGGGCGGCCGGCTGGACCAAAGCCCTCAGCTGGAACGAAGCCCTGGTGCTGCTTGTGCGTTGACGCCTGAAATGACAACTGACAGGGAGGGGAGAGCAGATTTATGGGGTTAGCAGGTGCGATGATTGGCTAGCCGGGGCGTGACGCCCCTGATTGCTTATTGAGATAACGTGACACCCGATGATATTGTCTTCCTGATTGAACTTACGCTGAGCTACATTTGTCTTTTGCCGGGCTCCGGTGATTGGCAAATCTGGTTGATGCCTTCTGATATGATTTAGCATGTTTGGCGTGTGTTCCCATTAGCATACGGCACCGCTGTCTAACAACGCTGACACACCGTCCTCGTCCGATCCACCACTCGCACACTCCATCGTTATTGTAGTCCACAGGGAACCCGAAATGTTCCCACACAGCTGATTTAAAAGAAACAGGTGGGTTCTAGCTCCTGTGTGTTATCTGAAATCGCCATACTAACTTTTCTTCTTCTTGTATTTTGTTCGTTTTGTTGTTGTGTTTCTTTTTGTTCTTCATTTGTTGTTTAAGGGCGCCTGGCAAACAGCTTTTAGGTGCAATACCGCCCCCTGGATTATATATATATATATAGTGAAGTGGATACTGCCCTGAATGACAGACTTTTTTCCCACTCTTAAAAAAAAAAAGGCGTATTCGTCGTGTGACTGCATGTGCCGAACCGTGACGTCCGAACCGTGACATCTGAACCGTGATGTTACGGGACGAATACGGATACCGTTACACCCCTAGTGCATTGTAAAGACTGAAAAAACAGGCTCAGGTTAAAGCTTGACATGATTTGGTCTTTTACTTAAGAGGATGTTTGTCCTCCTGTGTTGTCTTATTTCCTTGTCTTTCTTTCAGGTGTAACATCTACCAATGGTTGTACATGACAGAGACCTCCTCCACCTCTTTGCTGTCTTACTAGTCAATCCTCCTGATCAGAGCCTTTCCTAAATAGTGGTAAGTTTTACAGTTCAGTGCATAGCCGCGGGAAGTCATTTTGCCATTCTGCACTCCAGTCCAAGTATTCAAAGCTAACCTTCATGTTAACAATATTCTCCTTTGACCCACATATTCCCATAAATGTCAGCGATACAAGCCACATAAATTGTTTGTTTAAGGCGAGACACGGCAGGCAAAAACATCGTTTTTCATGCACTGGTCAATTTTGAGATGTTGTGCTATTTTGATTCCATAACATGTTTTCTTTCAGGCTTTTGGAAGGAAAACGTACAAAATACACATTTAAGTGTTTATTTTACTATAGTTTGTCTATTTGCGTCTGTATATTTCTCCTAAATTCACCAAAAGTTAGCATTCTAACGTAACATAAAGTACCGCGACCGCTGTTTGCACCATGTCAACAGAGATATCGTTGGAAAGCTCCGTCTCTCCTGCACAATCTCATCAGATCCAAATATGGTAATTTCCTTTGTATCAGCAACCAATCGTGAAAGTACAAAAGGGTCTTAAACCAAGAAACGAAATCTCATTGGCTGGTGTCAACTTCTGACAACGTGATTTGTTCAGATGCGTCATGTGGTGTGCTAAAACACTTCCTGGTTAGCTTTCCACTAGAAATTGAAATCTCAAAATGGCAAAAGAACGGCGAAAAAAACGTTCACAGAGAAGACAACAACAATTGTCACTTGCACGAAGCAAGGTTATACAAAAAACAAATGACCCCGAACATGAAATACCTTCACGGAGTGCGTCGATGCGCAAGCTGTCATCCAAAGAACAGGAGGGTTTAGCTAGCGCCTCACTGCAATCTTTAAAGGTCGTTTTCTCAAAATGAGTTGTTTCTCCTACTCTGAGTCCGACATTTCCACTTCAGTTGCACTTACATACACCAAACCTTCCAGTTATATTCCTATCAATATTATGAAGGCTTTTACTGAAGGGTTTGTTCATATGTCATTCATAGCCTGAATTATACAAGTTTTTATACCTAGAAACATGGCGAAAATTGATATTTTAGGGCTGTTGACAGTATTTTCTGATTAATGGAGTGATAAAAAGAGATATCCAAAATCCCTTCTGTAAAAGCCTTAGATGCTAATATGACTACAAAATGAAACGAGAATTTTGAACCTGGCTTTATCCAAAGTTCAGATTTCGGTTCCTGAAATGTGTTAAGATATGCGCAAATTTAATGAGATAATGGATAATTTGCATATTCAGAAAACTTGTAATACAAGAAACAATTGCCTCATTGTAGGTAATTAACTGGAGAGATTTCCAGCTGATATCTTTAAGTTAAAAAAAATTACCCTATTCACCTGGTGTCTCGCCTCTGTTAGGCTTAATACACCATTATCGACCTACATCACTTAGCAACAGCTGCACATTCCCACATGCTAACTATGGGTCTTACGAACCTACATAACATTACAAATAGTCAGGAAATATTATTTACAATATTAATAAAACTATGAATTCAATTTTAACTGATTGACAAGGCAAAATACTGCACAGCGGCAGCAGCATTAAAGGAAACATATCGTCTTACCTTGTGTTGGGGCTTCACAAAACTCCAAATGTAGCCTGGGGTGGCACTAATGAAGACCCTCATTAGAGCAGAAACATCCACATTGTCCAAAATGTTACTATGGACATGCATCAAAGTCAGATGTGTCAGTCTCTTCTGTGTCATATTACTCTAGTTGTAGAGGTGGTGGGCTGAGGAGTAGCTGGTGGTCCACTCTTTTTATTGGGTTGTTTGTTGGAGAAAAAAATCCAAAATCCTTTTTTGCGCCATTCTAGAAAGTTGTCACTCTGCAGTGTGTGTGTGTGTGTCGCGTCAATTACGTCACTCTCCCACGACCTACGACCTAGATGACTCTGATTTTATTTATTTGGAAAATTCAAGCCACCTGACATATAGAAATATATTCTATGACTATTATATGCTACTGTATACAGCTAATTTTATTTTAAGTGAAATCATAACTATTTGATGTAGTTTAATCATTTTTATTTAGGTGGTCACTCAGTTTTTCAAATGTACACCACTCGCCAACAGGGGGTGCTGCAGCACCCCCCAGCACCCCTACAGTTCAGTGTACGTTCATTTAGCAACTTAATGATTTACCGCTGTTGAATAAATCCTATATTGCTAGTCATTTTATTAAAACTACGATTTGTAAACTTTTTGATTCCAATTACAATAATGTTTTTGTTATAATTGTAAAACACATCTTAACATCCATCAGCAATCAATACAACAAATCATCCAACACTAAATAAATTGCTTACCATGCTGCGAATGGATCTGGCCCTTCCTACATCCAGGACATGATTAAACCGTACACCCCAGCGCGTGCACTACGCTCTGCATCAGCCAAACGACTCGTTGCGCCCTCGCTGCGAGGGGGACCCAAGTTCCCATCGGCGAAAACACGTGGGTTTGCTGTCCTGGCTCCAAGATGGTGGAATGAGCTCCCCATTGACATCAGGACGGCAGATAGCTTGCACATCTTCCGGCGCAAACTGAAAACTCATCTCTTTCGACTCCACTTCGAGCGTTAGAACTATTAACGAAGCACTTTTATACTAATAAAGGACTGGCTTACCTAAAGCCAGTTGAGTAGCACTTGAAATGTTTGGCTCTATGAAACCTGATGTACTTATATGATTCTGTTTTCTTCAAGGTTGTGTCTTCCTGGTCGAATGTACTTATTGTAAGTCGCTTTGGATAAAAGCGTCAGCTAAATGCAATGTAATGTAAATAGAAGAAATCTGGACCTATTTCTTTTTATACCACAGCATCTATTGGGACTGCTCATTGATGTCATCAAGAGCCATTGAGTCTACCTTTTGTAGTCGGCCTCTCAGAATGTTTAGCATTTCTTTGTCTCTTAACATTCCTATAATCATTTGTTTTTTTATTGTTGATATTGTTTTGTTCTTTATTTTTGTTGTGAGAATCACAATTGTGTAAGTGCTATATAAATAGTTATACTAATATTATTGTTCTTACCATCATTACTATTATTAATAATGTCTTCTTTGTTTTCTTTATTTATCGCTGCAGAAAGGATCATGCCAGCCCACATCAAACACCTGATCAAGAGCTTGTGAACCTCACTGCTGCGGACACCTGTGTGATATTCCACTCTGACTGGAACCCTCAAAATGACCTACAGGTACGATATATATATCTGCTCTGTCTGTCCTAAAGATAGTTCAAGGTCCCTCCATTCAGGAGGCTGGTGTTAAATTACAGGCTGTTTTTAACATTATTCAGACTCAGCTCGCTGAGCTTAAGCTTCTTTTAAATGTTGATAAAACCAAGGTAATGCTCTTTTCTAAAGCTAAAAAGACTACAGACACTGCTTTGGATATTGTTACTATGCAAGGACAAGTACTTGAAGTGGTTACCAGTTATAAATACCTAGGTATCTGGCTTGATGATTGTCTTACTTTTAAACTTCAGGTCATTAATCTGCTTAAAAAGCTGAGGGTTAGACTAGGTTTCTTTTTCAGAAACAAGTCCTGTTTCTCTTTTGAAGCCAGGAAAAGGCTAGTCACTGTGACCTTTTTACCTGTGCTGGACTATGGTGATTTGATCTATATGAATGCACCTGCCCATTGCCTGGAAAAGTTAGATGCCGCCTATCACAGTGTCCTGAGATTTGTTACTAACTGTAAAGCACTTACTCATCACTGTACCGTATGCCAAGGCAGGTCTGCCTTCACTAACTGTACGGAGGCTCAGTCATTGGTACATGTTCATTTACAAAGCCATGTTGGGTAAACTACCTTTTTATATCTGCTCTCTGATCTCTCGACGAATTGAAAGTACATATTGCCTGAGATCTCATGATGTTGTTTTATTCAATGTGCCAAGTGCTAGGACTGTCTTAGGGAAGAAAGCTTTTAGTTGTGCAGCTCCACTAAATTGGAACAGTCTGCAAACATGTTTAAAACTGAGCACTTTGGTTCCCCTGCATCATTTTAAAACTCAGCTGGGTGACATGCTGTGTGATACTCATGGTACCGGTCTCTGTAAATAGAGTTTGTAAACTGTACCCTGTACATTATGTTGTATGTCATCCTTATTGTTGTTCTGTTGTTTTTATGTTACATGTGTAACTAATGTCCTGCAGGTCACCCTTGAAAAAGAGATCTTTTGATCTCAAGGGGCTTTCACCTGGTTAAATAAAGGCTACAATAGGGCTACAACAACAACAACAACAACAGTCTTTCCGTTTATTCCCTTGGTTCTTTAAGTGTATATTTTCCCATTTAATGCTTAAAAAACGTTGAACAGCAGCTGCACCCTCTTTTCATTTTTAATTTCAGGCTCAACCTCGGTGTCATCGTTTTGGCCAGTCTAAGGCGGTGAAGGTGTACCATCTGATCACTAGATACTATGAGAAGGAAATGCTGGATAAAGCTAGTCTGAAGCTCGGGCTGGACCGTGCCGTCCTGCAGAGCATGAGTGGGAACAAAGAAGGCAACAACAACGGGGTGAGAAAAAGAAAATCTGTCATATTTCTAGATGCCAAGTCATTTTTGGGTCAGTCGCTGTTGCAGTACGCTTAGTTTATTTTCCAAAAGAGTTTTCTAAATCCACTTGTGTAAATGTCTCTCTGCGTCGCCTTTAGCCGGTCCAGCAGTTCTCCAAGAAGGAGATCGAGGACCTACTGAGGAAAGGAGCCTACGACGCCATCATGAACGAGAACGACGAAGGCAATCGCTTCTGCTAGGAGGACATCGACCAGATCCTGCAGCGAAGAGCCACCATCAACACCATCACCAGGTATGTTCTTAGCAGCACTAGCCACCGCGCTTTGTGTTGGTAACCAAGTACTTGGTTATTTGAAATGTAATATTGATGATGTAATAATTAAAACTAGGGATGGGTACCGAGCCCCAGTATTAACGGGGCCCCGGGCTGAATTATTAAAGACCGTGGTACCGTTAAGGTCCAACGTTATCGATCTTTTTATCGGTACTAGAGACATTTAAAAAATAGATGTCATATGTATTATATCTACATAAACATTATATCACAGTCTTACTGTCGCCAACTCCGTTTCTAATATGCAATAAGACTACAAAGTGCATCTATGATTTATTTTCGATCTTTTCAATCCAGACGAGAGATCTCTCCCCGGTCGGTGTGCGAGGGGGTGGGGCAGTTTACACACACAACCTGCTACATGCATGCAACACACACACACACGCGCGCGCACACACATGGCGGAGAGAACTAAGCGCCCCGAGGGTAGTTATATGTTACCTGTCTTGAGCATGGATGTATAATAAGAACTGGATACAGCGTCGGAGGCGGGGTCTCGTTCTTTCCTATGAGAGTTGCTCATTGGCGCATGAAGTCAAAATGGCCCAACTTTTGAGAGAGCGAAACGTCACAGATTACCCGTCATGCCTGGCTGTCAGAGCAGAATAACCCGTATGTAGTACCACCGTTTGGACACAATGAATATTTTCCTCAGAGTCCGGCGCACTTCCTGGGGGCTTGGTCTTGAGGTGGAAAATGCTCATTGCCAAAAGTGCAATAAGAGTTTAGCATGTCAAGGCGGTAACACGAGCAATTTGTCGAAACATTTAGCAAAAGTGCTCCACATTCAGACGGAGGAATGCACCATTTTCTAGTAGCTCTGTAGCCCCATCCACGAGTAACATTTCCATGTCAGGTGTTATGTATGCTAGCAGCAACACACGGAGTTAACTCAATGATACAAACATGGGTTAATGACTAGAGGTAACTGAGTTATTTATTTTGTTAAAGTTTCAGCTATTCTGTTTACAGTTCTATCATCAGATGATTTAATACGATTTGTTAAAACATTGTTGTTTCTTATTTTCAGTTTGCTTCAAGCAGTGGCTGTACGAGGAAGACGTGGAGGACCAAGAAATGCTGGCCAGATTGGCAAAGACCGGAAGATACATAACAGAGAAGATAATGGATATTAACAAGAGAAATAAAAAAAATGTTTATAATTTCTTTGTTGCTGTTTAAATTTAGAATTATATTTGTTATTTTTTAAATCAAATCTATTTTAGATGATATATTTATTTAGATGTCCATGCTGGTCAACACCATGCTGTTTTTTTCAGCAGGAATGCAACCACACACTTGTAAAAAAAATAACACACTTTATATTATAAAGTCAGGCAACACTATAACCAGGCTTCGTGTGATTCAGTTTATTTGTACCTTACTTTGACCATCCGTTCACTGTCATTGATCATTGTGGAGAGGATCAAGCAGACGTTTTGTTTTGTATTAGCAGCTATCGGATAGAATCAATACTGTACATGGGCTGCACAGGTTGTGCTGTCCGACTATCACAAGTAGAATCATAATGAAAAGGTGAAATGTGCCTGTAGAAAACGGCTTATGCCACAATAGGATAGTAACAAGTAGTCAAGATAGTCAGTTTAGCTTCGGTTGCTGTTGCATAACTGCGGTCAACTCAGCCGTCTCTCGCGTTCGCTTGGTCAAATCAGCAGCTATTCATTTTTGAGTGCGCAATGAATAGCGCCTTTACGGTAATCGCTGTACAAGAGTAAAATAATGCATTTTTTTTTCTGCTTTATTTGCAATACAAGTCATTTGTACCATAAGTTCTTAATAAAACTGACACTGTTTGACTCAGTCCTAGTTTGACTGCTACAATAAAATGAAGTTTTTACTGTGTACTTTTTGGGTAATACTCTCTCAAAGCCCCCTCCTGAGAACAAAATCATGCCACTTCTGCTTCCGCCTTATTTTCATTTAGTAGTTTGCCTTATTTGTATTCAGTAGTCCTTCTCTTTTTTCTTCCTCTTCTCGAGTAGTCAGTGTGGTGCTGTTGCTTTGGTCTGGGTCTCTGGATCTGTGAGCTAACCACGCCCCGTTCATTTGCATAAGGAATGGAAATGAGTCATTATGAAATACAAGTCCCCTGAAATAAATAAACGTGTCATTATGAAATAAAAGTCCCATGAAATAAATAAACGTGTCATTATGAAATACAAGTCCCCTGAAATAAATAAACGTGTCATTATGAAATACAAGTCCCCTGAAATAAATAAACGTGTCATTATGAAATACAAGTCCCCTGAAATAAATAAACGTGTCATTATGAAATAAAAGTACCATGAAATAAATAAACGTGTCATTATGAAATACAAGTCCCCTGAAATAAATAAACGTGTCATTATGAAATACAAGTCCCCTGAAATAAATAAACGTGTCATTATGAAATAAAAGTACCATGAAATAAATAAACGTGTCATTATGAAATACAAGTCCCCTGAAATAAATAAATGTGTCATTATGAAATAAAAGTCCCATGAAATAAATAAATGTGTATTTAAATGTAGATGTATACATATTTATTGCCTCATTTATTTATTTCAGAATTTATTTCATAGGCATATTTATATATATATATATATGTATTTATTTATTTAATTGTGGCTTAAATGGCATTCCATAGACAGCGGACACAACATTCTTTATTCTGTCCTTTTGCAGACGGTTTCAATGTGGGATTTTTCCTGGAAATCAGATGGTCTATCATTACACCCAAGTATTTGAATAAAAATACCTGTGTAATTTTGTCAGTGGGTATTGATAGGAACTTTATGAGTCACATGGGGAACCAAGACAACTTTTTCTGTTCAACTTCATCATTATTGCTCCACTCCACCACTTTGTTTACACTGTGTCTGCCATCCTAACATTGCAAATTAAATTGACTATTTAGAGTTTATATATATAGCAATAGTAATGATACCTCAAACTTCAATGTGGTTTACTCACCAGGCAAACAAACCTGATGAAACCTGTTAATTCAGCTGTCCAAAACACATTTCCAATTTATATTGTTCAACCAATGTATAAATTATTTTCTGATTCTGAGTTTATTTTAATTTTATACACACTTTTTTTGTCTAAATGTTGCCTCTTCAATCAGAAGGGGATCTCTTGAGCTCACCACAGCTCTGTAGTCCACTCCTCATGTCTGCATGAGGCAGACAAGTGGAACTGTGAGCCTTTTAGAAGCAAGGTTTTGACCATGCAGAATGTGAGATGAGAGTAATGATACATCTGTGGAGTACTAATTTGAATATCACTTTATTTCAATCGGGAGATACTTGTTTTGAATTAGGAAACTTTGATTGATGTCTGCAGGAGATGACATCAATTAGAATAGTCTTTGACGATTAGACCCCAATCGTAGGTAGAAAAAGGGGTCTTGACACTGGCGGAGTGCAGTGATGTTAATGGGGTTGGATTTGATGAGGAGGCTGCTGAACAGACAAAACCTGGATTTTGGCCCTCCCAGGAGAAATACAATTATTGTGAATGTGTAGCCATGGATGTAATATAATCAGTGAGAGGCTCAGAATGAGGCACGAGGGTGGGTGTGCCTCTTTCTGTCATTTTTCATTATGTGTGTGACACAAAGTTAATACCTATCTCTGATCTGTTGTCTGTTACTGCGACAACAGTCCTCCTCCTGCCGTGCGTCAATTCTGTCACGTGGAGGCGCAGCGTTTTCGGAGTTTTTGGTTCGTAACGCACGCGCGCTGCGCTTGAGACACCTCCTCAAAGCCGGAGAGAGAAAGCAGAGGAAAGTGAGGTACTGAAGGAGAACAAGTCAGAGAATATTTCCCGCCACCACAGCACCTGCCAATCTGAGATTTTTACATTTATATGAGAGGGATTTTGTACATCATCCACAGATTTCTTCATGATGATGATGATGATACCCGGCACCCACTTGTTGTGCCTGTTCCTGCTCGCCTTCCCTCTTTCCTGGGCAGAGGACACGAAGAAAGATGTGAAAAAGAAGGATAATGACACAGGTGAGGATTATTTAATTTGTTATGATGTTTATGAATCATAAAAGCTCAGTTGATCTGATGAAATGTGTGTAAATGCGACACCATGAGGAAAAACAAGTGCAGCTTGTGATTTAAAGGTGCATGAACGAAATGAAATACATGTGTCCATCTAAGATTGACTTCTCCAAGTGTTATAGTCTTTTATAAACCATGTATCCATTGGCGTGTTTGGGATTTATAAGGTATTTATAAGATGCAGGTTGCTACCTGTGTCAATATACAGGGCCGGCCCTAGACATTTGTGTGCCCTATGCGAGATTATGATTTGGTGCCCCCCCCCCCCGCCCCTCCAAGCAATACACAATAGAATATATAAAGAATAAATGAAACATCTCTACAAAAGACCAATACCCTACAAAAACTGAAACGGATTGACATGTTGGTTATATACATAAAGAAGGTTTCAAATGTATTCATTATTGTATGAACATGTTTTAATTGGAAATATTTGTTTTAACATTTTAAAGTAAAATGCTTCAATCTGGTGCACTTTGAGCAGAATTACTAGAGACCAGATCCAGGGGGTACAACTCTAAAACACCCATATGAAAAAGATCGGTTTACATTTTAATAATCAAATAAGTATGAGAACATAACCAATAACCACCATAACCAATAACAAATAAATGTAACTTATTTTATTTTGGTTTACCTTATTTCACCTAGTTAACATTTATTTATGCTTTTTTTTTGTATATCTCCAGTTTTAAACTGTCCTATAGTACATTGAAATGATTTCAAACCTGTTTTTATTTATCCTAATAATTATAAAGGTGTACCTTGGAAATATTTGTTTACAAAAATTGTGACCAAACCGTTTGAGACCCATGAGATAACTTAGACTAAAGTGAACTATCTAAATACTCGGAGTCCTTTACCTCACTGAGCTGTAGTTATCAGCCTCAATCCAACAACAATCCGCGGTAGCGATGCAGAGGCTCGCTCGCACTCAGGCTGTGAGCTGCGCCTGATAAGTCAACATCCCCCACTTTCATCACTTACAGCGCCCATCGTACAGGGCAAATGCAAAATGTTGCCGGCCCGGGGTGCAAAGGGTGTTTACTTTATTCAATTATGAATGTAAATGTATTACATCAAGGGCAGAAAATTAGGCAGAATAAAAAATGTTTTTTAATTAGTTACATTTAAAAAAAAAAAAAAAAATGTTTCTCCCATCGCAGCGCCCCTCCAGATCTGGCGCCCTAGGCCACCGGCTAGTTCGCCAGTGCCTAGGGCCAGCCCTGTCAATATGTATTGTATGCAGGGGCGGACTGGGACTAAAAATCTGCCCTGGTATCTGACCCTGTCCGGGCCCCATGAAATGTTGACAAGTAATACACTTTTGTTTGATCTATCGTTTTTTTTAATATTAGATATTACACCTACTCTCACACTGTAAAAAAAATACAGGGGATTTTACAGTAAATTACTCGCAGCAGAGTTGCCAACAAGTTACTGTATTTTTACTTTACAGTAGCGATCCTGTATTTTGTTTACAGTATCAAAATCAGTGCTGTATTTTTATATTACTGTAATTTTGTATGTTGCTGTAATCTCAAAAACAATATTTTACTGTGATTTATACAATACTGGTATTGTGAAATAACAATACATTACTGTTCTGTATACAGTATAATTTTACAGTAGTGTATGCATTAAAACAGTATATTACTGCAGTTTTCTCTTTAACCAATTTTAGATCCTTGTCTCATTTGCAATAGGTGCTACCTGAAACGATAAAAAAAAACTGGGATACAATTTAAATAAAATATGTTTCTTGATTTCCTTTCAATATTAAGTTCAATATGAAAAACATGGTTGAATAGGACAGTTCATAACAGATATAAATATAACAGTTCATAACTGATATAAATACAACTGTTTATGACAGATTACATTGGACAGTTCATGAAAGATATAAATACAACAGTTTATGACAGATTACATTGGACAGTTCATGACAGATTCAAATACAACAGACCAATTCAAATACAAAATAGTGTACAAGTAGTGAGGTCACAACTCAAATCACAGTACATATTCTGTAATTATGTGAAAGTAAAAGGGTCCCCTGCAAGAGAAGTGGACAAAATGGAAAAGGCAGCATATCATTGAAAATGTTTGCTACTTCAAAACTGAACAATGGAATACTATAGAGATCATATATGTATGAAGCACACATACAAAACATGGGGAATTAAAATATATGTTCAGCTTTACATGTCAAAAGTAAAGTGTCAAACCAAATCCTTACCTAACATGATGAGCTTGAAGACACCCACACACACACACACACACACACACACACACACACACACACACACACACACACACACACACACACACACACACACACACACACACAATAATATGTTCAAATTAATGTACAATACAATGTAATATTTGAAAGGCATCAATTATTACATTTTCATTGCACAAGATCTCCGCTTACATCAGCCAAAAGGAAAAGAGCCTCTTCTTTTTCCTTGAAATGTGGCATTATGACCAGCAGAGAGATCTTGGTTGGAGGATTCCTCCTCGATTTGGGTGAGGACATTCTGTATCTCTCTCCTCCATTTGGTCCCCTGACTGTTGAAGCTGTTTAGCCATATAATACTGCAACTCAATCTCAAAATAAAATACGAACTTTTAGGGGGGAAAAACCGGCAATAATAACGTTTATAAACCTAAATAATCCGTTAAAGGTCACAGCGGTTCTCTCCTCTTGCTCCTGATATTTTCACCCCGAAATATTGTAACAACAAAAGTTACTGTAACATTACAGCACTATTTACAGTATTGCTGTAATATTACAGTATCGTTTTTAAATTGCTGTATACATTTCCCGCCTAAGGATAATATTCCCACA